TATTTTAAAATTTTTCTAGTTGTTTTAGCAACGTCGTTTTTTCTGGCTTTGACTGTCTTATAATTTGTTTACGTTTTCTGGAACATCCCCCGCATACTTTTATTTCTTATTATACATATTAAATCAAGTAATCCCACAACTTAAAAGATTTTTACAGTTTTTTCAATTTCTAATCTAAAGCTGACAAAAAGTAAAATATGAAAAAACAATCTTATCAAAGCCCTCAGAAGCAAAACAAAAATCATTGACCGTTGGAATTTCGATTGTCGTAGGATCAATTTACTGTTGTTATTTACTACAATTTCACTTTTTGTTTTGGCTATAAAAGTGCCGTCCAGTTAGCAATTGTGTTCAGTTGAAATTTCGGCCGTGAAACGTTCAATATGAGATTTATTGGAAGTGTTTGCCTCTTGGCCATGGCCATTTGCCTGCTGCTGTCCGCCGTCAACGTAATGAGAATTGACCGACCCAAAAAGTACTGAGGCACGAGATTCATGCTAAACCTTACTCCATTTGAACAGGCGCTGCCAGTGCAAGTGCAATGCAGCGACAACAACAACGGAACTCTGACGCAAACCTCGTCGGATGGCCAACAGACACAGACGCAAACTGGACCCGGCTGCCAAACACAAGAATCTGGAGATGGACAGCAGAGCCAGAGTCAGAGCCAAAACGGCAATGGCACCCAAACACAGACACAGTGCAGTGGCTCGAATTGCTCTACATTGCCGCCGCTCTTCACGATGAAACCACTCGAATGGAACACTCTTCCACCCATGCAGTGGAACACTTTTCCACCCATGCAATGGAATTAGAAATGAACTACTCGACGCTCCACTGCAGAGTCAACTGATATAGGAAATAGATATTTATCTATATACATTGACCTTGCTGTGCTTTAAGCTCTGTGTTCCATTTAATTGTGTTCAATTAATACTATAAATCTAGCTTAAGACTGTCAAGCCGTTAAGCACCTTGTCAGCTCTCGTTTGATAGTTTTCTGAATTTACATTTATTTGCATTTTGGCAGTTTTCTTGGGTAGCAGAGTTAAAACTAATGGAATGGTCTCTGTTGCCATGGCAACCTATCGCCACAATATATACATATATAAATATATGTTGATAATAATAAGAATATAAACAAATAAAATTTTTGTTATCACCTTATCACACATTTAATAAACAACAACTATGTTTGGGCCTGTTGAAAATGTAATTTAATAGGCCAGGCAAAAAGCTGCTTTTCGTTGGGGTTCGTTGAATATTTGATAAAGGTTTCACATAATCGTGTAGGCTCTTACAGGCGCCACCACATGCTCGGGCAGTGCTGGGCGAGGAGGTTAAGCATGTGCTAAAAGACTTTTTGATATGAGCAGATAGCTTGCAGTCTATCCGGAACTAAACGTTGACGCACACAAGTCAAGCTGGTTCAAGTCCTAAACCCAACTCAGGGAATGTGTAAAAAGTGTTTTATAGATTTAACTTTTTAATAAGCGAACGTATGAGAAAAGTAGCTCAGCTTAGATGAGATTTTATAAAAGGAAAGAAGTTGAGTAAACATAAAAAAAATAGGTCAGCTTAGCATTTATGCACTTTAGTTTAAGCATGGAGATATGTCGACCAGCAGCACTTGTTTTTCAGCGGATTTGAAGTTTATAAATCCATTAACTAATTTCGTTTATAAGTTTCGTACACTTATAAAGATAATAGTCCAATCAAAAATCAAATATGGTCTTAGCACAAAATATTGCTCCACTTGAGGCAATTTGCTGGATTGCGAACGCATATTCTCGCTCTTATCTGCTGGCGCACTATATTTAACAATAATTCCCCGATTTACGCGCTGCTTAAAATTTGCCAAACTAGGAGCTGAGGCTATGCGGGAGCAGTCCAATTGTTTGCATAAGACTAGCTAGACCATTTCTCCTGCTCCTGCTACTGCTTTCTGCTCGCTGTGGAACTTTTCGACTGTCGGAAAGTGTTGCATTAGATTTTTCGCCCAGCAAGTTGCGGCTAATGCAATTTTTCGCTGCTGCGCATATCAAAACTTTTAAATGCGCACCAAAACTTTTAACTGGCGAAGCTGCCGTGCCGTGCTGCCGGAGCAACTGCATCCAATGGATGTGCCATGTCAGCGTATGCAAGTAATTGCGCATAAGCGCTACAATAATCAAAGCCAGACATGAACTTGGGACATATGCTTCGCTGATCTGGGACTTCTCCGTCGCCGTGTCGAAGCTAGCTGGCTTTTAACTCATTTTCTGATTAAAATCTTGGCCATTAAGCGCGAGCGCTCAAATCGGACTAAACTTTTTTAATGGCACTGATAATAGTTGCGCCTGGGTTTGCTAGTCGCCGTGTCGGCGTGTACCTATCTCTGCTCCCTCCCTCTCTCTCTCACTCTCTCTCTGACTGCTTCTCTGTCAGTCATGCTCTGAGGTGGCTCTGAAATTGGCGCCTGCAATGAACGACATGGCTCTGAATTCGGGCTAAAATTAAATTAAAACTGTCGCGCAAAATGGGCGCAGAAAAAAAAAAAAAACCGAAGAAATAAAGGAGCAAAGGCAACCAGGCAGCAGTTGAAATTGTGAAAATATTTGTGCTGCTTCTTTCTCCTTTACTTTCTCATACTCTTTCTCTCTCTTGTTTTTTATGTATATATATATTCAAAGCGAGTTGGCAGCTCCAGCTGTCAGCGCTGCCAGAGCAACGATGTCAATTAGTTTTTCAAACGGGCTCGCCTCACCTCACCTCTCTGCCTTTGCCTCTTTTTTCTCCCTTGGCCTCCTCTCAAGTCAAGTTGACTTTAAGTTAATTGCATAAGATTTCACTTTGCACTTTGTTGCCACGCCCAGCGCCACCCACAGTGGAGCCAACTCGCTGTTTCCTGTTGCCACTTGCCGCGTGTTGTTGCCATTCTTTAATCAAGTTAAAAGTTATTTTTAAATGAAGTGCGAACAATATGCAAGAGCAGTGCAAACATTGCATTCCAGTTGCCCTAACTACCACTCCGCCACCCTCTGCATTCTGATACCACAGCACCACCCCACCCCACCCGCATTCATTTGCATTTTCATAAATATATCTGCATATTATTGCACAACTCTTTTGCGGCTCTGCGACCGAGCTAATTAAAATCACATTTTCTTGCCAGCGCCACTCAAAAACTTGACAAATGATTGTACTTTAAATGGAAAATGAAACACCTTGCGTGACTGTTTATTACCGATATATAAATGTGTATATCTGTATTTATCATGCGAAATGTATTATCTGTGACATCACAGCTAAATCACGAGATAGCATTTACGCACGATTTTTCTTTTATTTTATTTTTTTTAGTGATAAGATATCTAGCTACTCAGCTGATAAGTGAACCTATTTTGAACTGTACTGAATAGGGGATACCCTTGTTGTGCACACATCGATATATTAGATGTATACTTAAGGAAATACTTGCAAATTAAGCGTAGAGCTTAACTATCAAATTGAACAACTGTTGAAATGTGCGGGAATACCCTTAATGTTGAGCTGTTATCTTTTATCTCAAGTCTATAAAATCTATATGTAATATTAGTAGAAATTGCTATAAATGGAAAAAGAGTGCTTGGCTTAGGGTTGTACAAAAATTATAATTTTTTTTTTTTTTTTTCACAAATACCACAAGTTCAATTGAGAGAGATTTTATCGATACTATGTATTACATTATATATAGAAATTTTTATATTATTCCGCACAATCTTTTTAAACTTATCTTGCTATGAACATTTGAAATAAATAACATATAAAATTAACTAAAAATAATGAACACTTAAAAATGAAACAAAAGTAATTTATTAGATAAGTAATAAAATGAAATATATTGGCTGCAGTGGATTATATAAAATAAGAAAGACAGAAAGAAAAAATTATAAAAGCCTAAAAATATTTAAAAAAAAATGTATAAATACAAAACATTCATACGCCATATGAACCTATAAAGAAACAAAAAAAAAAACTGTTTTTTTTAATGGGGCCTTAATGAATTTGGTCTTAGACACATAAAATTTCATGTGGCTTAAAAGAACATTAAAAGCTTAAAAACAAAGYGAGTAAAGCATAGATGAAAAGCAAGTTTGATGAGTGTGGAAATGACAAATGAAAGATCAATCAAAAAATCAATCAATTCAGTTAAACTCAAATTTAAGCTCTTCTACTTGGGAGAAGTTGATAATATTTGAAGAAGAAATATAACATATATACAGATATGCATAGGTCTAATCACCTACAGGGTATTAATGAGTCAGCACGCTAAATGCTTGCTCTCTGTATAGATTTTAGGCTGCGTGTTACGCCTGTTGAGTTTCATTTGTCATTAGTCAGATCTCTTTATATTTTTAACAAATTATCCGCGCCAGCAAAGCAGACAAGCGCAACCACAGATACACACACACATAGACACACAGACACACACCTGCAGGGCCGCGCTAACCGGCAATTGTAGGTGCTTTACACCTGCAAAGCCCTTGATTGATGATGTGAGCAATTGATAATGTGAGACCAAACCAAGCGGGCGGGTGCACGCTGAGTGCTGGGCGGTGGCTACGCTAATTGGCGCCACGTTCGCCAAGCGAAGGCTGGATGAAGGGGGAAGGGGAGAGACAGAGAGAGAGGGGGCAGAGCGCCAGCTGGCTGTCCCTATGTATGTGTGTGGGTGTGTGTGTGTGTGTTAGCGTGGGTCGCTGCTTAAAAATGTAAAGCATGCTTTCATTCATTCCTGCTTTCGTTTTTTTTTTTTTTTTTGTGGGCCATAAGTTTTTTGTTTTCTGGGTGTTTTTTTTTTTTTTTTTTTTAGCTGGCTGGACTAATTGAGCGCTTAAAGCGGATTTCGACACGCGTTTTACTTGCATTTTTTGCTTCTTTCACATTTTTTTCATCTCGTTTCTTGTTTTTATTCTTCTTTTTTGCGTGCCTTCCAATTAGAGAGTCTAAAGTTAATTGCAATTTGAGGCACTTGCCGCGACAGTTACTTTGGCTTGTCACGTTTTAAACTATAGAAGGGAATAACATATATATGTATATATAAATATATATA